ATGACTCTAATATAATCATCTCACTTTTTACTCTGAGAATCACAAAATGTATTCAAAAGTTAATAAGAAATTATAATTTAAACGTCTAAATATTTAAAAAAAAATTTATTGAAATTTAAGTAATTGAAATAAATTTTCAATCAATAATCAGTATAAAAAAAATTGGACGTTTAAGTCTTGAAAATATTTTTTTTTCTTGCAAATGTTTAACATATTTTATATATTTTTTAAAATATTGAGATTTTTATCTATATTAGGGTGTATAGTAATTAAAATGTGAAGTTAACATAAATCAAAATATTTTTTTAATAATAATTATATTTTATAAGATTTAGTTTTTGAAATATTATTGAAAATATATTATTATATATGCATCAATATAATAGCTAGAAGGATAATTTGGGAAGAAAAAATGCCACATCATTCAAAGTCAAAGTTTTATCATTAAATTCATTAATGAGGGGGTAAGTGTTACATTTGTAACTTTAAGGGGGTAAGTGTTACCAACCCTATACTTTAAGGGTGCAAACTGTATTTAGCCCTATATTCAATTTAGCGAAATATTAAATTATTAAATTAATGATTCAGCACATTGGTGCGGATTCATGAACTGATGAAAGTATAATTTAATCAAGATTATTAATCTATCGAGGTACGAAAGATTATCGATAAAAACCCAGGTCATATATTTCATATGTTAGCCCAATGCAGCGAGTGTAGATAAACCTAATGGATAATATAACTTTAGACCATAATTAATGAGAATATAATTTCACACCAAGTAGTCATAGGCCCAAATAAGAACCATGAATGGGCTATTTTCCTTTATTATGGCCCGAACTTATTTTTATTTATGATTTGACAAAATTAACTTAAGATGAATATTTTAGTTTTACATTTTTGCGAATGATTCAAGCAACAACATATTTAATTAAAATTGTAATGTTATTAATTTTATAAAATTTAACAAAAAATAAGTTATAATGAAAAACATATCTCACTCTGAGCGCCAAGCACCAGAACTTTGTGCATGAAATTGAGTCTTTAATATTTGAATCTGATTTAGCATATATGGCTCAATCACAAATTGATTGTATGGATTAAGCTTGAAGTGAGAAAAAACCAAGTAAGAATAAATTCATAAGCTCCGAGAGATCTGTAAAAATGAGTGCTAAAGAAGGATTTCTTCGATGGTCAGGTCAATTGGAATCGTAGGAAATAATATAAGTGTATTTAGAGAAATATTATAAGAATGTGTGTATTAAGAATACGTAATAGAGAGAGATAGTTGTCATTCCACTTGTGCTCCAAAACTGTATTTATCCTTGTCGAGAAGATGTTGTGGTGGACCCCCGGTTCTATCTTTGGTCAGATCACACGTGGGAGTAGTGTGGCCAGTGTTCTAAAAATCGGCCCCGATTAATCGGTCTCCGAGACGAGGCGGTCCAAAACCTTTACGATTTTAGTATAAAGGTTTAAAAAAATATGTTTTTACCTGTGAGGCGGTTTTAGGCGGTCCGAGGTGGTCCAACCTTTAAGGCGGGTCAAGCTTCGGCGGCAAAAATCGGTTTTTTTTTTTCAAAATAAAAGTTGGAATTTTAATTTAAAAAAATGAGTTTATGCTTTATTTTATTTATGTTAACTGTTATTGTTAAAGAACCTAATGATCTATGCCAATAATGTTGAAGAATAAATTTAAATTCAAAAAATTTGCCTTTTTATTTTTATTTTATAAGTATATTTATGTATTATGATCTTATTATTATTAAATTTTTATTACATGATGGAGATATAACTATGTTTAAATATCTCTTTATATATGTTTTGAGTATTTATAAATAATATCTAGAAATATATTATATTATATTTAAAAAATCGATTTTATTACCGATTAATCACCGCCGCACCGATTAATCGTGAGTCGGTGCCTGACCGCCTCCGACCCGATTACACTTTTTACAACCTTGAGTGCGACTACTACAAGTTGCGCTTGTTTGAGGGCGAGCTACCTTGCTCCCTGCGATCTAGATCAGTTCAAAATGGAGAGAGTTTGCTAGTGTGGTTGCTCATGGTTATGCCATAAGTGGACCCCTCCCCGATCCAGGTCGTGGTGCAGACTTTCCGTCATTGTTTATGACATTGGGCCGAATGTAGTCATATTTGTCGTCTATATCTACCCCATGTGGAGCCAGTGACACGCGTTATGGAGTGTTAGTGGGCAAGGTAAGATTGAGTTTAAATTGCCTGTAAAATTTGTATGGAATTCTTGATATTTATACACTAATTTATTATTTTAATTAAAATTAAGATTCAAATATTTAATTATTTTATGCTATTTTCTATAGATCGATACCCTAATTAGAAAATATTCGAGTGCGCTGCCCCCGAACCGTACAACTTTGTAGAATTCTCACCCCCAACCGAAGAGTCCTGTATAGACAATCACATACATATATGTACATATATACATATAGCTGGAAACTAAATAGGTTAAATTACAAAGTAGTGGTGTTATGGCTTGATTAATTAATTAGTTATATGTAATTAATTACTACTAGATTAGTTAACAATATATCATAATTAATTGATATAGACTTATAATAGCACATATATAATTAAAATGTTGTTACATAAGGCAGCAGGCGTTAACGTTGTCATCATTGAAGAGGTTGCTAACTTTGTCATCCCCACGGTGGGTGGGCGGAAGAGAGCCGTGGCGTTGGGCAGCGTTGTAGCCGTGCCGCCAGTAGTTGTAGCTCTCTTTGTAGTCGGTGGTGGTGTCTTTGAAGTAATTGTTGGCAGAAGTGAAGTAGAGCGGCGGCATTGGATAAGGCCAGAACTCCGCCCTCTTCCCCGCCCTTCTCACCGCCTTCAACACCTTATTCCGGTCGACGTATCCCATCACCGTCACCTTCTCCATCTCCAACTCTACCTCCACCGAATCCACTCCTATATATATACATATTTCAATTGATTAATACAGTTATCTGTAAAACTAAAATGTTAAATGTCGTTTTGATTTTGAACGTGATTTTGATCATTTTCTAGTGTATTTTCTTTTTTTGCAAAATACAAATTAAATAGAGAAGTTGTAGTCATTTGAGTTACCTTTCTAATACAACTTGAATCAGGCTAGATTGAATGTCGGATGATAAAGTTATATATGAATTAGTTACGTTTTGAATGTTAGAAAACTCAAAACATTAATTAATTATTGGTGATAATATTTAATATCAATTTTCAAATTCGTAATCCATGCTTAGTTATAATAAATCATTTTTGTGTGTACACAACAAATATTATTAGTGAATTATTTGTAAATTTTTGAAGTGCGTAACTTAGGATCCATAATGAAAAAATTACTGAAATGTTAAATGTAGTTTCAATTTTACTGATACTGTTTTGATTTTTTGAACTTGATTTTTGATCATTTTCTAGTCTAATTTATGCAAACACGGTAGTTGTAGTCCTCTGAGTTAA